TTGTGTATACCCTGTCTCATACTGACAATGGGTCGTGTATACCTAGTATCATACTGACAATGGTTTGTGTATACCCTGTCTCATACTGACAATGGGTCGTGTATACCTAGTATCATACTGACAATGGTTTGTGTATACCGTCTCATACAGACAATGGGTCGTGTATACCTAGTATCATACTGACAATGGTTTGTGTATACCCTGTCTCATACTGACAATGGTTTGTGTATACCTAGTATCATACTGACAATGGTTTGTGTATACCCTGTCTCATACTGACAATGGTTTGTGTATACCCTGTCTCATACTGACAATGGGTCGTGTACACCTAGTATCATACTGACAATGGTTTGTGTATACCCTGCCTCATACTGACAATGGGTCGTGTGTACCTTGTCTCATACAGACAAGAGATAACAGAGATACAGGAGAGATAACGAAAAAAGAGAGCATGGAAGGTTGGATAAGGCGGCCTCGGGAGTTGGTGAGACCATCACCCCAGAGCTTTAGGGAACGCGCAGAAATATCACTGAAAAAAAATCACCCCAGAGGACATCCCAAACGTTACAATATCCCCCAGAGGAGCACAGGCTCTGGTAAGGAGTCCAACAGTTGCTTAAGATCAGGAAGAGAAAGCAGAACATGTAGGGGGTGAGTATTGGAAGAGACTGTGTACCATTTACTTGCAAAGATACGGGCGTCAAAGGAAGGGAACGGTCAGAAGAAAGTACCAATCCATTACGACTGTATAGCACTTGGAAGGGGTCTGGATAAGGATTTGGGATGGGACTGGGGAAAGGAATGGTGCCCAACCATCTGTTGACGGTCTGGGTTTGAACTCCGACTTGCTTGAAGCTAAACCATCGCTCTACCGTCCAGCCCAAGTTTTGCGGCAGAGGAATGAATGCACGGTTGAAAAAGAAGTGGGAAGATATGGAATAACATTACAGATCAAGACAGCAGTAGAGGTAAGAACCCCCCAGCAAAAGCTGGAGGGAGAGAGAGAGAGAGAGAGAGAGAGAGAGAGGAATAACTGTGAAAGTGACCAGGATGAGCGCCAAGCATCGGCTCCTGGAGACACACAAAGCGGTGACAACTGTGATCAGAAGTTGGAGTTCGTGGAAGTTGGCATAAAATCCACGTTTATTCCATTGAAGAATGTAGATTGTCAAGAATAGATAGAATAGTTAAAAGAAAACTAAGGTAAAGAACAGTAAATTAAAAAGGATCAGCAAGAGGTTCAGTGAAATTAGCGTTCAGAGGTACAGGTAAATCCAGCAAGGACAACATATTCGAGAGGGCGGTGAAAATGGCACAAGTGAACTAACATGATTTGGTGAAGGAGAAGTGTGGAAATTTCCCAGCAGGTGTTTAGTTATATATAGATTAATGATTATTGAGTAGACTGTATGATTAATTTATATACCTGCTAGGTGTTACCACTTACAACACTTTGGGAGGTTGATTTAATATTGGTAAATCCACCTTATAATATTATGTAATCATGAGGTTAATACATCACGATAAAATATTTTTATAAAGTTGTAGTAGACTAACTACAATTGCCAATGAATAAGTTAGGAGGGCTTAGCTGCTGAGTAGGTTTGTGCATGTAACGACAGGGGAAACTTCTCGAGAGTCAGTCCAAATTCTCAATCCTAGTCTGGGTGTGGAGGCCACGTGTACACCATCAGTTGAGGCGGCTGGCTCCCGGTTGCTTCTCTCCACTCTGCGGATAACATACAATGTAACTCCTGCAGCGCTAAAATTTCTCCAGTTAATCTCAAATGAATAGATTAACTGCTTATTAGACTTAAACTTTGGACGTTTAAATTCTCCTGCAGCATAACGGCCGGCCGTTTACCTGTGATATTTACTATCACAAGTAAATATGGCCATAATTACCAATAGAACGTCAGTAATCGACCAGACACAATGTTCCTCATCGTGTGAAGGTAGCAGCAAAGTCTGGGAGCCGCGAGACGTCGGATGACCCAAATATTGGACGATGCAAGTCGGCTGCTTCAGCAGGGATCTGATCGAGCTGTGTTGTCGTGAGACTGTGTGCAAGGGACGCGTCCTCCTCCCTCCCTCCCTCGTGGTGAACGTCCGGGACATTAGTCACGCTATTTAATTCATCTCGTTCACTATCGAGACGATATTGGCGTCATTTTACGCCCTAATATTTTACATCAAATTCCAGACAAAAAAAAATCCATTGTTCATAACAGTGGATCGAAAGGTTCTTCAAGATTTAAAGCACATTTAAGAAATACTCAATGCGTGACGTGATTATTATTTTGCCCGAAAGTCAACATGTCACGGATGTGGAAGTTCACCTTGGGACGGAAGTTCACTTTATTTCCTGTTAAATTTAATTAATTTCCAATCTAAATAACAAATGCAAATAAAAGCAAATTGCAGATTGTTTTTAATAAGAATTAGATAAAGAAATCGTAACCACGTGAGACATGGTGGATGACGCAATAGTCCACCATTATACTAGGAAAAGTTCTTCCTCACTAGAAATTAATATTGTTAGTAAATTAAATTTCCTAAGTTGATTGACCAGACCACACGCCGGAAGGTGAAGGGACGACGACGTTTCGGTCCGTCCTGGACCATTCTCAAGTCGGTTGATCAAGTCTGAGTCACAATCGACTTGAGAGTGGTCCAGAACGGACCGAAACGTCGTCGTCCCTTCACCTTCTAGTGTGTGGTCTGGTCAACATACTTTAGCCACGTTATTGTGACTAATCGCCTGCAAATTTCCTAACACAACGCATTTATCTTGCTGTGCTACGGGTTAATATTTTGGGTGTCGGAAATTTCAGACAGAAGGCACCGGGGAGGGGCGCCGAGGGTCACAACAGCGATCTCTGGATCAAGAACAGGGCCGGGAGTTTCCATATATGTCTGCTGACTCAGTCTCTGAGATGAAAGAAGATGCAGGGACAGAGTCAGAAATGGAGAATGGGGGGGGGGGTTGGATTAAAGCTTTCTTACCTGCTGGCGAGGAAGGAGAGGAACCAGGTTTACGTTTCTGACTGCTAGACACAGACGTGCCAGCAGCAATGTACTTTCACACATCCACAGTGTCAGGCGGTGAGGGACAACGAGACCGGACACAAGGATATCCGGGAGGAGGATGGATATTGGTCTGAACGTGCAGTTGTCGGGGACGGCCAAAGGACAGAAAGGAAGACTGAGAAGAAAAATAAGGGACTAAAGGTGGAGGCCACAGTGGATAGAGAAGAGGGAGGAGGTGGAGAAGGTACACTAAGACGAAGGACAACAGAAGACTGGGGAAGGAAGAGTGGAGATACCAGTCGATGACCCACGAGGAACACCCTTAGCTTGAGGTCACAGAAGACGGGGAACTGGTGGAGGTGTCGGGGTTTAAGGCCTGGAGACTATTGCGACACTGATGAGGGGAAGAGAAGTGCGATATTTAGATATATGAATGAGCATACGTCATGTCAGAGAAATGGGTAAGATGGCGGACCTGACGTCTTGCGTCAGAGAAAGATATACGTTCATGATGTTTTAAGTCGAGGATGGCTTGCTCAAATTTATAGTGCATGCATGTGTGGGAGAAGACAGGATGGGCCTCGCTGCAGTTAATGCAGCGAGGTTGGAGTGATGAGCATTCTGTCTTAGAATGAACAGGATCTCCACACACAAAGCAAAGCAACACCTCACTAGAGCACTTCAAGAGACCATGACCAAACTTCCAATACCTACTGCAGAGGCGAGGAGAGGGGGATGTACTCCTAGACGGAGCATCTGGCCCCGGCAAGAATGATAGAAGACAGGCGGGTCCTGCCATCAAAAGTGATCTTAACATTATGAATAGGACAAGGACAACGACCACGAGGGGGACGAATGAAGGAGTCAGTCTGGAGGACAAAGGCCCTGGGGCCTCGAGGATATATTTAATATCCTCATGGCAGTTTTTGTAGTTCTCCCGCAACATGGTGCCAGAGAACAACAAAGCCAAAGCTGGCATTCAACGGGGTATTTGTGGACACCTTAACCGGTGTCTCGCCAAGGCAGAACAAGTAGCAAAGCGAGCAGCCACAACTACACATGTGCCAGTCCTAATGGGGTTAAAAGTAACCAAAGAATCCACAGAGTCAACCAAGTGTCTAATAATTTATATATCATCAGGGCGGGTATGGTCGTCGGGACAAACATCATAATACTTCGGCCACGAAGGAGGCCGAACGAATCCTGGAACGTAGCAGGTGAATCAGAACACAAACGTGGGCGACGGTGGACACGGAGCCGAGGATCCCTATGAAGGACGGGAGTGGGGTAAACGGCGCAATTGTGAAAATGAAAGAAGCTACACCAGGGGACGAGGTAGTCACCACAGGGAACATGGAGCTCAACCCAGCAACAGAAGCAGGAGGGGGAACAGGGAGAGTCAGAAGGAGTAAGCAGAGAGGAAGCCGGGTCTGGGCCCAACGTAGCCGGGGCTATGGAGCCCGTCCTTCCATCACGGTCCGACTCGGAGGTCTGGTCGTCCACCCCAAGAGTCTTATAGGGAAAAGAGGGGTCGGAAGCATACATAAAATTAAGAAGACAAATTTCCTCCACGATTAAGCGCCCAACGCCCACCATGGAGCCTCAATTAAGGGACGGGGAACCCCACAACACGGGACCTTTCCTGGGGTGCATCGTGGATATACGCCCCGCAGTTATTAGCTTAGGAACCGTCACTCCGTCGACATCAAGTTCAGCAACGCTGACTTCAAAGTTCCCCTCGCACGAACACGTCAGGTACTCCAGTTCTATGGGCGAGAGAGAGAGCGTCATCTCAATTTGCCCTCCAAAAGAAGGCTACTGAAAGAATATTCAAGAACGGAACCAAGTCGGCAGGAAGTAACCACCAGAAAAGAGAAGAGGTAGAGAAGAAAAAAGAAACAAGAAGAGAAAAAGGGATCCAGTAAAATTAGTAACGTAGGCAGCAGGAGCATAAGGCTCATATAGGATAGATGACACGTCAGACCATGGAGCATGACACGCCGACAGCCGCCCACCACGCCCCCTCACGCCGACAGCCACCCACCACGCCCCCTCACGCCGACAGCCACCCACCACGCCCCCTCACGCCGACAGCCACCCACCACGACCCCTCACGCCGACAGCCACCCACCACGACCCCTCACACCACCCACCACGACCCCTCACACCGACAGCCGCCCACCACGACCCCTCACGCCGACAGCCGCCCACCACGACCCCTCACGCCGACAGCCTCTCACCACGCCCCCTCACGCCGACAGCCGCTCACCACGCCCCCTCTCGCCGACAGCCGCTCACCACGCCCCCCTCTCGCCGACAGCCGCCCACCACGCCCCCTCTCGCCGACAGCCGCCCACCACGACCCCTCACACCGACAGCCGCCCACCACGACCCCTCACACCGACAGCCGCCCACCACGACCCCTCACGCCGACAGCCGCCCACCACGACCCCTCACGCCGACAGCCGCCCACCACGACCCCTCACGCCGACAGCCGCCCGCCACGACCTCTCACGCCGACAGCTACCCGCCACGACCCCTCACGCCAGTAGTAGGGTGTAAGCGCTACAGGGGAATTTTTTTTTCTGGGAGAAAATTCCCCTGTAGCGCTTCGGGGTTTCAGGTGAATTTGTAAATTCCCCTGTAGCGCTTTAGGGTTTTCAGGAGAATTTGGGGAGTCACAGATTTGGAATTAGGGAATTCTTATAATGAAAAATAATGTCATACGAGTTTGTTAAAGTTCTTATAAGAAAAATAATTTCCGAGACATAGAAGTTTGTTAAGGCCTTATGGGAGAAATTCAAATAACGTGTGTAGCTCTTTAGGGCTTCCAGGAGAACTCTACGGACATATTTTACATGTTTTCAACTTACAAAATCGTCTATGTAAGCCATAGTTTTCATGTAAATTTAGAAAATCACCTGTGTAAGTCATCGTTTTCAGGGTTTCGTACATCACACCCCCCTCCCTCCCCCCTTACCTCGCAATCTGTCGCGTCACCTTTATTTACTTTACGGCCGGCCAGCCAGACATCGCATACAGGGTACCTCTTATCTTATCTTATCCATAATATCTGGACCGTCCCTCCTCTCTCTCTCTCTCTCCTTTCATTCAGTTCAACTATTTTCCAACATCGTATGTTTGCTCCTTTTCATTAAGCAAGTCAGTTTTACACAAATAAATCATGTTAGTAAGCATGTTCTAGCTCACGTTCCCCCCACCTTAGTCCCCTGTCGTATAATGAATACTATCATTCCAATCCCTCTAAAATTTAAAAATAATCATATTTCAAATGTAGTTCAATACAGTAATTTAGTTACCAAGCTCCAGCGCTTGTCCTCCGCCTTAGCTCTCTCTCGTATCTTCGTTAGTATCAGTCCAATTTCCCTGAAATTTTCACCCTCTGTATTTCAGGCACCATAAATAAGATCAAAACAGTTACCAAGCTCCAGCGCTTGTCCTCCGCCTTAGCTCTCTCTCGTATCTTCGTTAGTATCAGTCCAATTTCCCTGAAATTTTCACCCTCTGTATTTCAGGCACCATAAATAAGATCAAAACAGTTACCAAGCTCCAGCGCTTGTCCTCCGCCTTAGCTCTCTCTCGTATCTTCGTTAGTAACAGTCCAATTTCCCTGAAATTTTTACCCTCTGTATTTCAGGCACCGTAAATAAGATCAAAACAGTTATCGAGCTCCAGCGCTTGTCCCCCACCTTAGTTCGTTTATACAAGATCGTTAGTAACAGTCCAATTTCCCTGAAATTTTTACCCTCTGTATTTCAGACACCGTAAATAAAATCAAGTCAGTTATCGAGCTCCAGCTCTCGTCTCCGCCTTAGTTCTCCTTCATATCTTTGTAAATAACCCATCAATTTCCCTAAAATTAAAAGCAGACATACTTCAAAGTTAGTAAATAAGATCAAGTCAGTTACTGAGCTCCAGCTCTCGTCCCCCACCCTCTTCCACCCTCAAGTCTTTGTAAATAAACCATCAATTTCCCCGAAATTTTTACCCTCTGTATTTCAGACATAGTAAATATGAAGTAAACAATTATAAAACTCTAGCTCTTGTCCTTTGTCCAAGCTCACTTTTGTAAATTCATTACTCTCAGTCCAAATCACCCAACTACATTTTCAGACATAGTAAATAAAAACCAGTTCAGTTATCAAGTTACAACTCTTGTGCCCCAGCTTAGTTCATTTGTGCAAGTTCTTTATTTTCCAACTAAATCACCCTGAGATTTAAGATCACCTTATTTTCTAACGTAGTAAAATTAATCTGGACATTAGCCTTAGATCATCAGACATAAATATATTCGATCAAGTCCGTCTCCAGCGTATCTCTTATCCGAGTATACACATAACCCCAACCTGTTTAATTATCTTTCACCCCCTCCCACCTTCCTCCATCTCATCCAAGTCTCATAAATTAAAATGTAGCTGTTAATTTGCGTTCTTTCCCCGTTCATAGCATATTCTCTGTAAGTTCAGATCTGTACTTAGTCTTACATATTCTCTAGTTCTTTCCCATTTATACAAGACTTAAACAACTATTACCGTCTCCTCTATCTTATTTAAACATGAGTCATATGTAAATATACCCCGACTCTTTCCATCCATTACAAGTCCTAGCTTGTTCACCGCCCAACTCACTACGCTATTTCTACTCTACATGTTATAGCATGTTTTCCGCTCATCTTGGTACCAACCCTTACAATCTCTCTCTCTCATTCCTTTACATGTCTCAGCATGTCTCAGCATGTTCGCCTCGCATCTTACTACGCTGTCTACTTTACATGTTGTAGCGTGTATTACTGTGTCCCATATCTTATTTAAACATGAGTCATATGTAAATATACCCGACTCCTTCCATCCATTACAAGTCCTAGCTTGTTCACCGCCCCACTCACTACACTGTCTACTTTACACGTTGTAGCATGTTTTCCGCACATCTTGATACCATCCCTTACAATCTCTCAATCCTTTACACATCCCAACTTTCAACCCTTTCTTACAATTTTCCTCCATCCCTCCGCTACATGTTCTTACCCGTTCATTACAGTCCACTACATATTCTCTAATCATCTCTGTACTAATTCTCAAAACTAGTTGTTTCTGTCATTTTAGTAAGTAAGTAAGTAGATCATCGTTATAACAACAACAACAACAACAACAACAACAGTAACATTACTAATTCACAGTAAGTTACTACTGAGCATTTAGCAGTTATCCATTTTCAAATAAGGTCAATATAAATCATTCTAAGACATCTTCGTACAATTAAAGATACTTGCCTGTGCACTAAGTCATTACTTACAGTAGCATCTTAAGGCATTGTTTTCGTAACTCAGTTTTATTAAACATACACCTTCATTAGTCAAAGGAAAACTTTTCAAGTCATTGTATTCAATATTTCCGTTAAACTTACTACATCATGTCATTATTCGGTTTCATAATTAAGTACTTGTTTCAGTCCTCCAATGTAATAAGCAAATTATTCTATTAAGGATAAAGAAATCTTATTTAGAAGAGACATTAAGTTTATTACAACATTTAACGCATACAAGTGTTTTTAGTAGTTATACAGGTATTCAAGAAATCATAAGTGTTCTTAGTAGTTTTACAAGTGTTCAAGAAAATCATATACAGTTATTCTTAGTAGTTATACAGGTATTCATAAGTGTTCAAGAAGCAAACATATACAGTTATTCTTAGTAGTTATACAGGTATTCATAAGTGTTCAAGAAGCAAACATATACAGTTATTCTTAGTAGTTATACAAGTGTTCAAGAAATCATAAACACTATAGTCTTATATAGAAATAAACATTTGAATTTATAAAAGAATTACAAGTAAAACATGTATTTGATTTCACACAATGAAACTCACTATCCAGCAAGTTAAAAAATCCATCACATGCACAGCATCCCCCTTCCCCTTCTCCAAAATAGATTAGTTTTTGTCCCTTAAATTCCTTTAAAACATAGAAAGCATCGCTATAAACATTATCATCACGAATCAATTCAGGCCAGGACATTAGAAGTACTTCTCTGTCATTACAATAAGTCCTAACTGCTTCTACAGCGTCCATTTGTTCAACCTCCATCCACTTACTCTCACCCATATTCGAGTAATTATCTGTAGCTCGTACCACATTAGTATGTCTTATCCTAATAAGATTTTCAATAAAGGCCATACCAGAGAAAACACCAAGTACAGGATCCTGTCCTATAAATCTCATCACTGCCTCTATTTCTATCTTTTGGGGGGTATGATATCCTATTTCTGGTCTCATCTTTATTAAATTTAACGGAAAAGATGGAAAGCTCTCCTCCATATGATCAATTAAACTCCAATGTTCATCTTCTTCTGTTTTAGGGTGAATAATACTAAGCTCTTTCACAGTCTTACTATTTACCTGCTGTTGCAGTTCATCCTGGCTCATTATAGTATACACTTCTCGTTCTTCAGAACTCAACTTATTAATAAACCAGTTTGCAGCATTTGGAGAACCAATTTCATCCACAAATTTTCTTATAAAAAATTTATCCTTTAAGTTACATCCTATAGGCACTTCTTCAAATTCTGGAAATATGTATTTAAAACGGGGTTTAGGTCTAAAAGTGCAAATTATTTTATCGCCTTTAAATAACAAAGAAATTTTCTTCATCTCGGCCTTACTAGGAATTTTCGTCAGCAACAACACTTGACAATTCTCATGTTTCTTGAGTACATCTGTAACACTCTCTTTTAAGCTAAATAAGACTATATCACATTTTATCATTGGAAGTTCTTCTTTCAACTTTATAAAATCACGACCAATCAGTATCATTAAAACATTTTCACTTTTGCTAATAAACTTTGCTAGAGCTGGAACAATGTTCTCATGCGTACATTTATCAGTATGTGTCATCACTTTATAAGTCTGTTTTTCCGCCAGGGGCATATTCTTCCACAAAACAGTCGAAGCTGGACTTTGCCATATAGTTTCTGACACAAGATCAGGCATACTTCCAAACCCTGGTAGACTCTTCACATCTATCACATGGGGTAGATCTTTAAACAAAGAAAAATACAATATTTAACACAGGGACTATTAAATAATCATAATATTTCAAAACTAAAAGATATTCAATAATAAGCAAAATTATATCACAACAAATATAACGAGTACTGTAAGTACATCATACAATAATCACTTACTGTATACAGCAGCCATCGATCCGAGTATGTCTTGTCACTGCTGGAACGAGATGGGGAGTTTATGGCAAGATATATCCCGACCTAGCTTATCACATCGGAGATTGTTACGCTCCGCCCCTCTCTCTTAGCTGTAGTTTCCAAATTAGTTATATGTATTATTTTAGATCTACTAGTTTTAACTATGACATTCTCTTCCGTTTATTAGATCCCTCCTCTACTTGTTTCTTCTCTCTCCCAGTCCCCGTAACATCTTCTCCAAGAGGTATACGAACCATTAATAATTCTTTTTTATTATTCTTTAAAACATAAGCTAAATGGGCTAGTCCTGGAAAATAGTGTGTCTCCCATTCTTC